AAGAAACAGTGCATATTAGTCTAAACAAATAAAAAAATGATTTAAACTTAATAACTTACTCTGCTACTGAAATCAGTTTGATTTCTGCTGATGTAACCAAGGCCATGTGGGCAGGAAAAACATTGATGTAACAACGTTAATGTATTTGGTCTTGGCGGAATAGGTCTGCTACGCTGCTGCTGCGGCAGAGCAAGTACCGAGACTTGCTACTGCCAATACATCCACAACATGCTGCTGTGAGCATGTAAGAAATATTGCTGCTGCAAATATAACATACATGAAATAACCCCCATATAGCGTACATGAATCACCTCATAGCAGATCTATACAGGTGGAGCTGGGGAAGGTGGAGGGTTTCTGAAGCAAGCTGCAACTGCTGTAGCAAACACTAGTCATATATCTGAATGTTGAGCAGCGAGCTCATTGGCTACTGATACAGGAGAGAACCAATCAGCTGTGCCATGTGATAATGATGTCATTAGGTCAGATTGAGTTAGACCTATCAGACTGCGCCATCTAGAGTTTCGTGCCAGAACTCTGTATATATACTTACACACACACATTCTTCCTCTGTTGCCCGGGGAAAAAATACAGTTCATTGAGCGCAAATTGACCTTTTGTGACCTCTTTTGACACATTTCCCCAACATCTAATATAGTATAAAAGGTATCAGAAAAATATGTTTAATTAAGCATTGTTTTAATTGACATGTTAGCTAATAATTGGTATGCAAATGAAACATATACAACATTCATTTTAATTATTCTGATTTACAATAATTGTATTAATTTATAAATATTAATTTATTCATTATTTATAATTTCTGGAAGATTTTATTAGTTATCATTTATGAAAGACTGGATGCTTGAAATAATACAAAATAATACAATAATACAAAATCACTGCTACAGAAAATTCACATTTGTGTAATTGGATTCAAAACCTTTTAGATTGTGATAACTAGCATGTGCGTCAGTGTTCCTTGTTCCATTAAAAGTCATAATCACAGACAAGTACTCTATCATAATAAGAGCATGACAATTCCGACATGCAACTCTCTCCCAGGTTAAACAGCAGCAGATGGAGATTGTCTCTGGCCTCGTTTGTGAGCAGAATTAATTAGCAGTCACAGCAGCTGACACATCAGTTTTACACTGACCTGCAATTAAGAATAACACTTCTTTTTGGAGTGTGTGCATAGAACGGCCGCTTCATTGGCAACAGCCCATGCTACTTGATTTGTAATTAAAGTTTCTTTGGTCTCTGAGGCATTATGGGACAAAAGTGTAAACCTCGGGAACGCTTGAAGCTCCCAGACAAATTTTCATAACTGAAACATTTATTCCACATAATAACTTTGTTCTGAAATTGAGTGAACTGTGTTGCTGTCTGCTGCTAATGAGATGTAAACTCAGAATTCAGAGAAAAAAAAAAGTCAGAATTGCAAGAATTACTTTTTTTCTCAGAATTGAGATTTTTATATATAGGAATTATGTTTATATTATCTTGCTGTTCTGAGAAGCAAAAGTTTGTGAGAAACAAAGTCTGCATTGTTGATAAGTAGGAATTACCTATATATATTTTTTTTATCTGTGTCGGAAAGGGGCTTCCATTTGTATCAGTACTTTTTTGTATTAAATAGAATATAAGTATAATTAGGCTATAATCAGCATTTTCACCAAGCTTGCTGCGATTCATTTTGGGATTGCGTTATTTAATTAGTTTTGCCTTATGTGGCATTCTATTCAAAAGCTTGAATTTCCAATTGTAACAAAACGGCACTTCCAACTTGAAACCTCACTTGGAACAATAAATATTCACATTCACACATTAATCACTTTTAAGCAAAAAATGCATCAAAAAAAAATCTAAGTTACATGATGAGAAAACCTGTTTAGTAAACATGCATAACCAATGCCAGTGTTGCATAGCGTTGTTTATCCATAACTTGGGGAATTTTTTTGTTGACAAGCATCTGCAAATTCAACATTAGCAGTCCGATTTTGTGCCTTTTTACATCATCTTCCAAGGACAATAGAATACCAAAATGAGGTATCTTTAAAGCATCTCGAAATGCTGTCTAGGTAGGCAGCTCACTAGGTTTTGGAGCACAGGCTAACATGACAGCTTCATAAAGGACTAAGCTTGACTGAAATGCTTCTTTGTCACCAAAACCCCCACAATGCATTGGGGCAAGGGAGTGAGGCGAGAAGTGCGAGGCAAAGATGCGTTTGCTCTGCAGCAGTGTCCACGGTGCAGATGTTGCAGGTTATTTCCGTGAAGTTTCATCATGATGCTGGGACACTGAACTCTGGTAATCTGTGCTTCTCTCCGGAGTGTGTTTGTTTTGGCAAGGGAACACTTCAGCAAGCGTGTGTCTCTGTGTGTACGCATGAATTAATATTTATTTGAGGGTGTTAAAATTGTGCTGTATTGGTCTGTAGATGTTAATTGCATGGTAATTTGATGCTTGTGTTGATGGATTTGACATCAAATATCATTTCCATATGGATCTGTTACATTTGAGCCTACACAGACAAGGTGATTTTCAAACAAAAAATATTTTTTTTGTGTTCACTTGTTTGCATACAATGTATTTGTTTCAGTATGATGTGTGAGCTACAGAGGTCCATAAATACTGTTAATGTAAAATCATTCACGGTTAGTGAGGAATAAACAAGCGTGAAGTTCATTTGTGAAGTATGAAAGTGTCAGGAATGTAAAACAGGCCCAAGCCAGGTTGTACTCACCATGTTGATTGTTAATGAGATGCCACATTCATTTACAGCACACTCTGGGATCCCTGGGGAAATTCCACAATGACACCTGATTCCTAAAATAACACATTTACAGCCACAAATACATCCTGATTGACCTCCATGGTAAATATACAAAAATAAAAATGTTTTGTGGTTATATTTAATAATCTGCTAACAACCAGAAGTAAGCAGTAAACAAGTAGCCTATACAAAAGCACACGCCAATGCTTGACAAACGTAAACAAGCAATATTTTACTTCACTATGCGTATTTAACTTTAACAGAGTATTCTCATTTTAGAAAAACGTTTACTTAAACACATTAAAAAGAATATCTTGATTTTACTTAATTACATTTCATAAAAAATAAAATGCCAATCGTTAGTTCAAACCAAGCGGCAACCTTCCGGTCTCTCTTGTGAAACCAACACGGAAGTGACTAAAACTGCAATTCATCGACTGGCCGCTAGTTAAACTGGCCCATGTTAAAATGCCCAACTTTACAGCAGAAAAAAATGTGTTTACAACCTGGTACAAAAAGTGGTTTTGGTCTATATAGTTCATTTTGCCCTTCATGACAACTGTGAAGGGGGTGAATTTTTTTATAACTCATCCGTTTAAATTATATTAAGCCTTAAAGTTCTGCATAATTAAGGGCGTGGCCACTTGAGTGACAGATGGATTGCTGCTGTCACCGCCGGCGAGCTAGGTGGGCGTGGTTTCAACAACCAGCTCCCGCCTCTTTGCCCATTTTCGATTATCTGGGAGTGATGCGCGTTGATGCACTGCCAAGATTGCGACGGCCGGCTCCGCCCACTTTGAGCTTCAAAAACGGTCAACAGAAACCTATGGGTGACGTCACGGACACTACGTCCATGTTTTTTAATACAGTCTATGGTTCAAACCAAAGACGTAGATACCTGCTCAGCATTAGTGACATCTGATTCGCTAATGAATTATTCTTGTGAGCCGATTCTTTTCGGTTCTTATTACTGATCAAATCGCAGTCAACGATTCAATCACGACCTGAACTGATCCGTTTGCAGCTGTTCGCCAGGCTGATTTAAAACTGTTCGGAGCGAGTCTCTTGTTTACGATTCCATGAATTACCCTGAATCAAAACGAGCGCGAACTGGGAGTTCATACACAAAACGTTTTTTTTTTTTTGCGTTCTGCTGCTGCGTTGCTTCCTTGACCGTTTGCATCTCGTGCTAGAACGCGGTTTTTAGAAGTTAAAATGTTTCAAATTTACTTTAAAAATTTAACATTTTACTCTTGCATATTAAAAATGAAAATCATATTTAGCCTATACATTACACTAAATTGTGAATCACAACCAAAAAATACAAATAAAAGGACAAGCTACCACAAAGTAGATTATGCTTTAATGTGGCTGTCAAAATTAATATAAAAATGTAAACACATTTTTCCAAGTGGAGTCAGCTTTTAAATTATGTTTATGCTCTCATTACACATTTACTTTTTTTTTAATCATATTTTGTTGTTTTTATTTATTTGCACACACACACACACACACTGTGTGTGTGTGTGTGTGTGTGTGTGTGCAAATAAATAAAATTGGTTTGTTTTTGTGAAAAGTGGGGACATCCCATAGGCGTAATGGTTTTTATACTGTACAGACCGTATATTCTATTGCCCTACACCAACCCTACCCTTAAACCTACCCCTTACAGGAAACTTTGTGCTATTTCAGATTTTCAATACACTCCATTCTGTGTGATTTATAAGCGTTTTGAAAAGTGGGGACATGGGGTAATGTCCTGAAAAGTCACCTTCTCCTTGTAATACCTATGTCATACCTTTGTCATTATACAAATTTATGTCCTCATTTGTCACAAAAACGCGCACACACACACACACACTTGAGTAATCTTTGATATTCAAAGTTTAATCTTTTGATTAGAGAGCTAGAAGTGTTTACATTGGTGCACTTGTAGCCTATCTCGTACCCTTGAGCTAAACTTAACTCTGCCTTGTTTTTCAGAATTGTTCATGCCGTTGATTTCAAACCGTTATTTGGCTATCCTTGGATTCTCAAACAGCCCAGCAAGAGCTCATGCCTCCCTCCTAAAGACTTTAAGGCTTCCAGCTGTCATTACTTTCTCTAAAACCAAGCAATGGACCGTTGTGAGCCAAGCCAGCACTAACTGGTATTTTCGGACTGGGGAAGCTCTGAGTAGCCGCTGAACGAGGGTAAACCTTTCCAAAAACACAGAGGATGTTCTTATTTTGTATTGAATCCTAAATCTATTGTTTGATCTAATTATTCTGCCTCTAAGGCCCTTTTATCCCGGCACTGCTGATGAAACCGAAGCGAAAGAGGAGGCAGAGTGTGTCTCCTGGTTGTTTGAGACAGGACATCCATAGCACTGAGGGAGAGAGAGAGAGAGAGATAAAGAGCAAGAGATAGAAAGAGAGTGAATAAAAGAGTACTGAGTGATTCAGTCACGTACAGCCCAGCCATTATCTAGCCAACAATAAAAGATTACATCATATCAGCTGGCATAATTTCTTCAAGGTCTTTTATTGATTCTTTGAATTGTGAGTGCAGCTGTTGAAAGTGTACAAAAGAAAGTCATTGTATTTACGGGATCACATCAGGATTTTATAGGCACACAGAAATGATTTGACGATTCAGATTTCATTCGGAGGATGATCACAACTTTCATGTGGCTTTGTAACAGGTACACAACACTCCAATTATGTTTAATTCTTCTTTGCATGCAAGATGAGCCAGCACTCCTAAACTGAGAACAAAAAAATTTGACAAAACAAACTAGTGAGAAAATATATTACAGTTTATTGTTATACGCTCATCTGTCGCTGTTACAAATTCAAAGTAAAGCAAGTATTTTAATTTTACCAAACTATCTGTAAAATAAATATCGGCTTTGTCCCAAATGGCACCCATGTAGTCCACATTTTGGTAGCATAATGCCAAATAGACTATTGGGTAGGGTGACCATACGTGCCCTTTTTTCCGGACACGTCCTGGCCAGGATTTCTATATTGCCTAAAATATCCAGGTTTTGGGTTTATTTTCCTGTTTTCATACTTGCTGAAGGTAATGATCGAAAAGTAGTTTGACCAATAACATGCAGGCATTGTACATAATCAACCAATCATGGTGCGTGAGAAGGTGGGATCTATAGAGAACGGTCAAAGCAATGCAAATATTCATACATATTAGGTGTGTTCAACTTGAAGCGGTGCTGCGCAGACCGATCGGTGTATGACATCAAAGTACAGCGAGAGTGATTCGAAAGTATAAGGAGCCGTCTGCTTTCTATAGCTCTCACGGTACTTTGATGTCATAACACCGATCGGTCTGCACAGCGCAAGCGAAGCCAAAACCTGGATATTTCAGGCAATATAGAAATCCTGGCCAGGCAGGACGTGTCTGGGAAAAAGGGCACGTATGGTCCCTACTATTACCTACTATTGGGTAGTAGTCCTCTGTGAAGTCTAGTGTGAAATCAAGGGTGTAGTGGCGCAAAGAGGGTGCTGTTGAGCATTCTTCTTATATAGTAAAATGGCAAAAAGGACAGCTTAAAGTGTGGTCACATTAGCAAAATTTCAGCTAAATTTAGCAGGCAAAAAGGTCCACTGTCCATTGTCAATAATGTAGCCATGCATGAAGCACATGAACATGAAAGAATTCTGGACTAGCAACTTTTTCGCCATCGTGCGAAACTCCTGATCATGCAGATTCCTACAGAAAGTACTGGATTTCTTTCACAAAATTTCACCAAGCAACGGTAAAAGTGACCATGCCTTAATAGTGTTGTGGCGCAAAGTCCACACGCACAGTTTGGGATGGACCATAGTATTGCTGTTGCCCTTGAAACTTCCGTGAGTATCAGCGTGTTTGCAACAACTGTAAAGGTGCAGTCACATTAGCGAAATTTCGTGGGAAAAGATTGTTGTCAATAGTGTAGCGATGCATGAAGCACAGCTCACACATATAAAGCAGCCATCAAAGCAACATGACAACTTGAACACAAGCAAAATCTACATGGGAACTTTCTCTCCCTCATGTGAAACACAATTGTGCGGATTCCTATAAAAATGACAGAAGTTTGTCTGTGAAATTTTGCAGAGCAACGGTAAATGTGCCCACAGTATTTTTGAGCAAAGATCGCAAGTCCACATGTACCATTTGGGATGGGCCTGGATTCCTATTGAAGTGACTGGATTTTGCATGCAAAATTTCACAGAGCCAATGGTAAATGTGATCTTAAGAATCAAAACACGACTCATTTTTGGATGTGGTAAAGTGTATCATTTCTGCTCAACTTGTTGCATTAAAAAGAATTGCAATTACTGTTAGTGCCACTAGTGGTGTAAAATGACACATTTCACCTTAAAACCTAAGTTTTAAATGCACTGTTCTAAACTGAAATTGCATTATGTAACAGGTTAAACCCATCAAAGTCACAGACCAGTAAGAACAAGGTGGGCGGAGCTACTGAGGAGTTTATTGATCCATTCGGGGGTTTCTGAGTGACTTGGCACAAATCAAGGTATTTGTGATTGGCTCAAGCCAGGGGTCAATGACTGATTACTCCACTGAAGAGCAACATCTGTTCTCTGCCAGTTGCCGACATATCACTTTGATAGCGTTTAATCATGCAGAGGGTCACTGGACCAATTAGATTACTGATCAATTACTCCAGAAATTGGAATTGATAAGAGAGGACAAAAACATTAATGATTTTGCGAGATTGTTGCTATGTGTGGAGAGATTTATTACCCTGCGAGGATGTAAATTTGTATGGGTTGGATTTGTCCTCAGGGCACGACAAATTCATGCAAAATACACCAGCAACTGGGGATTAATCTTTCATAACAAACAGAAAAATGGTTACATATTTTTGAACGTACTTGAATATAAATGTTGGAGATGAATAAACATGATATATGTAAGAAAAACAAGAATGTTATAGTCGAATCTAACGCTTGAGAACCGATTGTGATGAATGCTGTACATGAAAAATATTTAATGCCCACATAAACCCTAGCAGAAGTTGAATTTATGAATTCATGTAAGTCTTTTACAACTATTATAAAGTACTTTATTTTCCAAGGTTGCATTCCTGTCCTTTCAAATAACACAAACACAGAGAAAGCGGAAACACACACACACACACTCACACACAAATCTTTTGTGCATCTCAAGGACTACTTGTGTTGTTTCGCTGCATTCAGGATGGAAAACATGGAGGGGACGCTGCCCTGGTGGGACAGGAAGTAGAGATGCAGAGGGGAGCAACTTCACCTGCTGATCACCTTCAGTCTGACCACTGGAACTGGCCTCTGATTGGACGTGTCTGATAGCCCATCCAATTAATGGGAATGGGAGAGAGAGAGAAAGGAAGAGGAACCTGATGACAGTTCCCTGCAGAGATGAAACTCCTCAGAAGCGCTCAGAGAGAAGATGACACTTCATACCACATCATTTGATAGGATTCAGAGAGGGTTATGGATCCTGTCACACAGCCAAATGAAGTCGAGGGGAAAACCGAGTCCCTGGGCTTTTCTCTGCTCCAACACCAGCCTGTAAATATCATGCATTATTGATGGGATAAAATGTTCAGCCTTGTTAGTTTTAAAGCTGACAATATGCCAGGCAAATGAAATATGTGATTTTTGATGCCATGTACAGCGAAAATATCTTCTAGATCAAAATGTATGCCATAATGAATATAACAAAAATCACAAATGAGATGTCATTAATATCTCAGTTGATCTCCTAGAAATCAATGCCATTAAAAAGAGAGCAAATGGGGATTTTTAGTGAAATATCCATCTTTTCAGATTTTTTCCCTCAGAAAAAGGCCGTAGTATCACGTCGCCTCTTGAGCTTCAACTCAGCAATTATACAAAAATCTGTAATCTACACTACAGAATATTTTAATAATATGAAGAACATTTTTCCTGAAGAACCTCTGTTTTTAAGAGTGTACAGTGGGTACGGAAAGTATTCAGACCCCCTTAATGCAATATAACAAAGAGTGAAAAATTTAAGGGGGTCTGAATACTTTCCGTACCCACTGTAAGTAATATCTCAATATGCACTCAAATGTTTCTCGCCAAATACCTTTTTTTGGGGGGGGGGGGAAATGTCTGAGTCAAAGTCAGTAATTAAATGAAACAACAACAAACAGCAAATCTTCCGAAGTAATATGAAATATTCAATCTAAATGTCAAAACAATGGTTTAATAATCCTTAGAATAATAATAATTGTGATAATATGAACAATTACTGGATCATGCATTCAATCATATATGTATCATTTTATTTTTATTTTAAATATTTTTCTGTCTAATTTTTTCAACCTGATTAGAAAGTGTGCTCCTTTCCAAGTAATAAAGTTAAATGATATATTAAAAAATGTCAGTGGATGGGAATATGCCTGAGAAATTTTAAAGCGAGAACAAGCGCATTAAATCACGGATTATTCTTGACGTGTGAAACGGTCATTGGGGAATTGGATTTGACATGGTCATACATGAAGCAAATCCTATTTGAAGCTAATCGTTTTAAACACACTTCCATGCCAAAAACCTGACAATGTAGTCTCCCACACACTGTTCAGAATAATGTTGTTGAGACAATAAAGGATCATGCATTACTGAGCTGATTGTGAATGCTCTTTCATTTACAGAATAAATGATGCCATTTATCCAGCACTACAGTGATTCCCTGTCTGTCTGTATGTGGACAGAGACATATCTATATGCACACTCACAGTAAATGTTGCTGAGGCCCATTATGAACCATCTAGATTATCATAACATTATATTACCAAACAGTCTTTCACCTCATGACCAGAAATGGCCTGAGCAGTGAATAATCATCAGTTTAATACTGAGATCTGCTCTCTAGTGCCAGTGAGGAAAGAGCGGCCTCTATCTTCAGAATGAAAGGCATTATAGGATTATACAAGTTTATGCAACAAAAATAACCCATATTGGGATTTCTAGCTAAAATAACTGTATTGTGAGTATGATTATTCATACTTTGATATTTTAGTTATACCTCCCACTAATAGCTTTAGGTCAAAAACTGTGTTGCGGTGAGTGATGAGACATCCCTTCACAAAGACAAATGACCAT